ATCTGCTTCACGGGTTGAAGTATCAAGGTTATTCCATAGACGTATATTTGATGGTAGAAATGATTCATTAGTAAATGCAAGTCTGCAGAACGGAAGTAACCATTGCGTAGTGCATAAACAGTCATACTTTGGATTGTTGGTGGAATTAAATTACTCAAATATATTGGTACATTATTTTGTGTAATATTATAAAACATTTGAATTTTTCTTCTTTCTCTTCTTTCTGCCAACGTTTCCCACCCAAGTTCCTTGTAAATTACCCTTGAGCTTGTAAAAAATAGATAAACCCGTTACTATTCGAGCAGCTTGAAGTTGTAATTGCTCCAGCATATTAATATTATCCAATTCAATATTATCCCAAACTTCACTGGCATATTCAAATAAAAGTCTTATAAAAACTAGATATAGTTTTTCTACTAAGTCTATATTTCAGTTTCCTAAGCATATTTATATGTTTAGATACACTTAAAATAATATTGTCAATATGAACATTTCATTTAGCATCATTGCTAAATGTAACCCCTAAGTGTTTATGAATATTAGTTACTGGTATGTTTTTTTCATTAAATGTAAAATTCAAATCTGGGATGTCAACATTCGAAAATATCATAATTTCTTTTTTATCAGGATTATAAGACATTAACCCCTTTTATACCATTCGTTCAGCTCATCCAGGTCGTGATTTATAACAGATTTATCTGCAATGCATCGTGATCTGCATAGCTGAACGATGTGTCATCCGCAAAGAGTCTGCAGAGAGAATAAAGTGTTTCCGCGATGTCATTTATGTAAATTATAAAAAGCAACGGTCCGAAGACAGACTCTTGTGGAACACCATGACTTATGATGTCGGGACCTGATGCTTTGGTGGGATTTAGAAGTTTGATGACATCAACAATTTCATTAGTATTAATCACTATATCATTCAATAGATTGTTAGTTTTTTTCTTCAAAGTAGGGTAATTGAGCATCAGTTCCTTCCAACAATGAAATAAAACAGAAATACTTACTTAGGAGGTCGCACTTCTCGTCGTCGCCATAGACAAAGTCATCAAGGCATTAGCTAATATATTATATTTTCTAGATGTTTTTCCAAAATTTTCTTTCGCTTCTCTTTTCATATTATTCACTTTGTTTCTCTGTTTTTTATATTTATTAGTATCGGTTACCTTTTTAGATTTGATTGCCTTTTTTCGAAGTCGATCTCTCTTGCGAATTGATTTTCTAATTTCATTATTGAACCAGTGTTTATCGTTGCCACGTATTGTTACAATTTGAGTTGGAATGCTCTCTCTTGCAATGTCAAGAATTGTTTTGGTGAATATACTGACCATTTCATCAACGTCCTAGACACCAAAAAAGAATTCATTCAAATCAACTGATTTTAACATATTATTAGAAATATCTACGTTTGCTTTTTCATACAGCCATATTTCCCTTTTGAACGACTTTGTTACAAATTTTGGACATTGTAAACAAATAATTGGAGCATAGTGAACACTAATGTCTGTAGTCCTCTGTAGGTACGCTAAGTATATCAGAAAAAATAATTGTATTGAATAACTTAGTATGATCGGATCGACCAATGTGCTACGGTGATCAGTTACCATTGTTGGATTATTAATTGCGTTTTTTAGATTAAACAGATTGATTGTATCATATAATTTATTGTTGTTATAAGAGAATAAATCCGAATTTAAATCTCAAGAAATCACAATGTTTTCGAAAAAGTCGTGTCCAATATTCGACACCTGACCATTCGAGTCGGTAAGTACAGTATAATAAAAATTGTTGACCTTTACCTCTAATCTCGACCCATAAAGTCTCGTCGGTGTGGTTTCCTTTTATATTGCTTGCAATGTTATGGGTTTTTTTCATTGTTGAAGGCCGTGCGGTGACCTATAGTTGTTTACTTCAATGTCATTTTGTCTCTGGTGGAAAGTTGTCTTATTGACAAGCATACCACTTCTTCTTATTTTTGATATATCTATTAGCAATTATTCAATGATATATGGAGCAGAAGATCTAAAAGTATATGCTAGTAAGTCTTGGTCTTCCGAATGATAGTCTGATCTAGGTGTGTCTTGATTGTTCCTGATAATGTTGTTAATAGATTGCAAAGCTTATACATAAGACAAAAAGCTTTATGTATAGTCCGTTAACAAATGACAATTGCAAACCGTATCTCTGGAGAACTTTTAAAACCAACAAAACAAAAGCAAACCAAACAATACTTACATCATATTACTATCAAAGAGCTGTTCTTTAATTTTTGTAATAAAACATATGAAAATAGTGGAATTAACCATTTTTGGAGTGTAAAAAATTCTATTGATGTTTTAGATAAATTACTTACTTTTGGTGGTCCTTTTGGTTCGGTTGACAGTTTTTGACTTTTTCACTCTTTATACTACACTTTCACACAATCTTATCAAACAAAAGTTTTCCTATCTAATTAAATGATCGTTTGATAAATCTGATTGCAAATTTATTCGCTGCAACTCATCTAAAGACTTTTTCTTAAATGAGAAAGATAAACTTACTGGAGATGTGATGAGATGATTAAAGCCATACATTTTCTCCATGCCAATATTTATGTACGCTTTGGCAATAAAGTTTATCAACAGATTGTAGGTATTACTATGGCACCGATTGTGCCCCTTTAATAGCAGACTTGTTCCTGTACTGTTATGAATCTAGGTAGAACTGTCCAAATCAGTTCTAGTCGTAGAACTGTCAGCAGAACTGACCAAATCAGTTCTAACCGTAGAACTGTCAGCAGAACTGACTAAATCAGTTCTAACCGTAGAACTGTCAGGATTGTAGAACAGTTCTAAATGACGTCACTGCAGTTAGAGAAATATTTAAATAGTGCTGTGATGAGAATTTTTTAATATATATTATATTCTTTTGACTTATTGATATTTAAGACAAAGAGTTCTTAAAACTGTTCTATGGATAGAACTGACTAAATCAATTCTAGCCGTAGAACTGACCAAATCAGTTCTTATCGTAGAACTGTTCTAGTCGTAGAACTGTTCTAGCCGTAGAGCTGTTCTAGTCCTAGAACTGTCTAAAACTGTTCTAGGGTAGAACTGTCAGGATCAGTTCTAGGTAGAACTGTCTAAATCAGTTCTAGGTAGAACTGACCAAATCAGTTCTAGGTTAGAACTGTTCTAGCTAGAACTGTCTAAAAGGTGTCAGGATGACAGTTCTACATACTGTCCTAGAACAGTTCTCCTGACAGATTCTGACAGATTTGATGAGAGGTTAGAAGTGATCTCCACTGTAATCTATGCATTACTGGTAGACTAATAAGTCAGGGATTTCGTTACCACAAATTACTTAAAACCTTTACTAAATTCTTCCAAAGATACAAATATATATATTAGTTTGCAAGTTTGGCTGTACCTGTAAAAAAAAACATATTCAAAAGGAATAGCACATCCTAATTTTTCACGGTGATGTTATTTACAGAGCCCGGAAAATACGATCCGGGTAAACTTATCAGTTCTTTAAATAAACTTATTCTAAAAGGTTATCATTTCAATTTCAAACTGTAATGATTATGAGTTCTTTGAATATTGTTTTCATTGGTATAGATATTGATTCTGTTATCAGTAAATTAAAACCGTACTAAATAGTATTGTTATACTACAATCTGTTGATACCTACATGTATATTTTGGCGTTGCACAAGGTCATGTTTTTCTCTGACTGTTTATGACGTCTTTACAATAGATCCATTGGATGTTGGATGTATACTGATTAATATATTAATCTTATATACATGATTTATTTTATTAGTTGTTATTGGTTTTGAACTAGCTGTCAGTAACTGAGACTACTCTCAGATCTGTACTTTGTGTCTTTTTTGTTGTTAGTGATGTATTATAAATACCCTTTCATGTCCGGTCTGTGTCTTTGTTAGATGTATTTCTGATTTGTATAGATCTGATGAGTTTATGCCATTTTTAACTGATTTTTATGAAATTTGAAAAAAATAGGCAGGACAGGAGTTTTGAGTAAAAAAAAAAGGCAGGATGACAATTTATGTAAAAAAAAAGTCAGGTTAAACTAAAAAAAAGGCAGGACCGAATAGAGTGAACAATAAAAAGGCAGGACCGAATAGAGGAAAAAATAAATAGGCAGGACAACATTTTTCATCCTAGCCCCCCCCCCCCCCCCCCCCCCCCGCCCCCATAAAAATCAAATGGAAGCTCCCTTAAGTACGTATGACACACGGATAGCTAGAGTTTATCATAAGAATATATAAAAGATAAACGGTTCAATCAAGAGAGAGATAAATCATACATATATCGGTGCATGCACATATGGAGTAAAAACACAAAATGCAAAAGTAAAGAGGTATGCAACGTTATAAAAAGTACATAAAGATAAGACTAAAATAAGCCGAAAATAGCAAAAGCACTATAAGTAAACATTAGTTTGTCATGCTGAAAACAAAGAACATGAACACGATTAACTGGTCTTGCAGACAAGACACTAGCTGCCAGACAAGGATTAGTGAATTGAATTATGATGATTGCCTTCGAGGCTCCTCTGACAGCTCAGTTCAAATTTTACTGAGCACCTATGCATACCTTAAAGCTTGTATTACATTATGCTGTTGTCCTAGCCTGTAGAAGCTCTGCTGTATTCTGAAACCTAAAGGAGTGAGGGTTGTCCTTTATGTGTAAATTGCTTAAGGTTCCATACATCAATTGATCATTGTTTGTTGCATAATGTCCAGTGGCAAATATGTCATGCATGTTCATGACTCATCCCCAGTAACGATGTATTATGAGAAATACGCCCACACATTACGGAACTACAAGTCTTCCCTCCGATTCCCTCTTTATAATTAAGAATTGAATATTATTTAGAAATACTAATTTATATTAAAAAAATCATCCCAAAGTATGTCACGGAATTGTTTACATGTCGACTTGGAATCGTTTTATAATTATAACATTTCATTCGGAATCTATCGTGTACCATTAAAAAGTTTAGAATGTTGATATATTCCGAGTGCTATCATGATGAGGATGAAAATTAAGAAAAAACTGCTGATAATTTGCGTAATTTGTTTGCTCTGCATGATTATTGGAATCAAAACTTTGTGTAAGTGAAAAGTGATGCATTTTTCTCAAATTCTTCTTCTTTCCTCAATATCTTTTACCATATCCAGACCATACGCGACGTCATACAATGTCAATGATACACCACTGTCACCACTCACCAGCTGGGCAGGGGCTCGGGAATTTTATTTTTAGAAATATGGTCTACCGGTATACTCAATTTGTCTCATTATGAAAACACTAGGGAAAAAACAACAATAAGTGCCAACTGGGAGAACGCAGCCTTGGACAGTTAGACACTGGCACAGAAACAGACCAGCACTGGCAGCAGACGACATCTACCCCAAGGGTGAACGGGGAATAGAAATACAATGTATGGTCACTACAGGTCTTCATCCGACCTGCAGTAAAATCCTTGTCAAAGTGGGGGTCTGTTTGGCTGTGCAGGATGTACAAGTATGCATCAATGTCTGGCTAGAATGGTTACATTCAATCTGATGCCTGTCCATATCCAATATACCCTCAATTTCCAATTGCTGTCTATATTTCTCTAACCTCCATCTCAGATTGCCTCTATTACACACACCTACCTATTGTATTTATTGTTAATTTGTTCTTGTCCTGAACATGCATCAAATGTTTGCCACTGGAGGTGAAGCAACCAATAATCAATCAGATCAGGATCAGACAAGATCTATGCATACCTTTTTACAGTTTTACTTCATGTATTATAAACAGAAAATGACAGGGGATTATATTGCCCTTCTGGAAAGAGTACCACAAAACAAACTTTAATATGTTATTGCGTTTATTTAATAAGTTGGGGTGCTATATCTGCCAACCTTTTTGCCCTGCAAATGCCCATCTTATAGTACCACATAAGATTGTTTGATTGTTACTAGCCTAATGTCCAGTGGCAATTATTTCATGTGTATTCAGATAGAACACAAATTAACAATTAATACCATAGGTTGGTTTTGCAAGGTGTAATTACCCAGGTGAAAATAATTCTAGATGCTTCTGCACTAAAAGCAAATTGGCAAACGGATATTTAAACAACTGTAAAAGACATTTTTGTCACCCCAAAAATACATTTTGGTATCAAGACAAATAGGCATCTCATAATGACAAAAAGATAATTTTTTCCACCTTTAGATCTTATTAGCTATTACTTATCCCACCAGTTTCTTGATACTATAGTCAATGGTAGTACAAGTAGTATAAGTTGTAGGTTATCTTATTGGTTGTTTTTTTTTGTTATTCTGATAATTTGGTGTTGATCTGGGACAAAAAAAGACATTTGGGCTATTTCAAAAATTAAATGATGACAAAGTGTGACAAACAAGGTAAAAAATTAAGTCATTGCAAATCTATTTTCTACCATTCTACTATAATCCAGAGACATTCAAGTTTACAAAACTACCAGGGGTTAGTGAAAAAAAAAAGTGAAAACAAATATTTTTACATCATTTTACTCATAAGAATTCATCAATTTTTCAAAGGAACAATATTACAACATACTATAATCAACGTACAAACACAAATAAGTATAAATATCAATGTATTTTTTTAAATTTTTTGTTGAATTAAAGATAGTAGTTGATTTTTCTATCATTTTTTACTTTTATATTGAGGCATACATGTATTTGTTAAATATGTAAATTTCACCAATTTTCAATGTTATTCTTTCTTCAAACAAAAAATATAAAACATGCAAGATATGGATAAACATGTTATTTCACCTACAAAGACATTTTCTTGCAACAGATTGACTTTTACTGACATTTTATTTTTTACATAAACTTACTTGACTTTATACCTTGTGCTGTTCATAAAAATGTAAATCAATGGAAGAATTGGAACAAGAAATCATAGTCAAGATATAATAGTTTGATGAGAGATATTGTTTGGTATTGTATCTGCACTTATTTATTTTATATCATCAATGAATGCACATGCTTCCTTGTGAATGTCACACTAATAGCGTTACACTCCTGACATTTTTGGGTAAATTTTTGGACAGTATTTTTTATACAGAGCACATACTGCTACCATCTTTGGTAGTAAGAACCAACTTATCATAATATTCATTATCTGACATGATAAACATCACACATATATAGTATCTTACAAGACACTGACAAAGGTTTCAAGGAAAGTCATAATTTTTTTTTTTTTGAAATAGCCTGTTTGCATTCTTGTAATTTTACAGATTCTATTTTTCATCTTTTTCTTAAAAAAAAAATTTACATTTTATTAATCCATATTACATGTATTAAGTTGCCTTTGAGTTTAATATACTATGATGTTTTACAGAATTTGGTATTGATGGCAGTTTTTTTTATCGTTTTCTGTTTAATTCATTCATAACTTTGTGACGAGTGAACCAACACCTTCTAACGGAAAAGCTGGTAGAGTAACCAAGATGGATACCGAAGTATGCTGCGGTTGTCTTAAAACCTCATGGAAATATAATATGTAGAGACAACAACATCTGGGTTACCGCAAGGTGATAGTTTTATTGAGTCTACATGTTTCGCCACTTATGGTGGCGTCTTCAGGACAATTTAAACATAGAAAACAAATACTGAAGTACATAAAATGCGGTGCATATGGGGTTACAAAGGTTAACAAGACGTAACGTCACAATAATTGATTTGACAACTTTAAAATGAAAGTGAAAGTAAAAGTTAATAATGCATTGTCAGTGTCTTTTCCAAAATGGACAACACCTCACAGGACATTCCGTACCATTCCAAAAGGCTTCACTCGGAAAGAGGTACTACTTCCAATTGCGTCGGGAATGTTGTAAGATGTATGGTAGTCGCACATGTAGGGCATGGTGGAAGTTGTGGTGAATTGGTTACATTTTGCGGTTGTGGTACACTATCCATGTTGCAAGTTTATTTCAACAATAATCGTGCGGTTCTGCGGTTCAGTACGTTTTGCGGTGGTCTTCTTATTCGCGGGTTTTCCTTTTCTTCGAGGTATAGGCGGTTTCTTCAGTGAGGTTGGTGGTAGAATGGAACTGGTCGGTAGACATGAGGCTAACGGTTGTAACTACAACGCAGGACGGCTAAGGTGGATCGTGTGCGGATGCAGGGGTTCACAGAAAAATAAATAATTTGTGACGAGTGAACCAACACCTTCTAACGGAAAAGCTGGTAGAGTAACCAAGATGGATACCGAAGTATGCTGCGGTTGTCTTAAAACCTCATGGAAATATAATATGTAGAGACAACAACATCTGGGTTACCGCAAGGTGATAGTTTTATTGAGTCTACATGTTTCGCCACTTACGGTGGCGTCTTCAGGACAATTTAAACATAGAAAACAAATACTGAAGTACATAAAATGCGGTGCATATGGGGTTACAAAGGTTAACAAGACGTAACGTCACAATAATTGATTTGACAACTTTAAAATGAAAGTGAAAGTAAAAGTTAATAATGCATTGTCAGTGTCTTTTCCAAAATGGACAACACCTCACAGGACATTCCGTACCATTCCAAAAGGCTTCACTCGGAAAGAGGTACTACTTCCAATTGCGTCGGGAATGTTGTAAGATGTATGGTAGTCGCACATGTAGGGCATGGTGGAAGTTGTGGTGAATTGGTTACATTTTGCGGTTGTGGTACACTATCCATGTTGCAAGTTTATTTCAACAATAATCGTGCGGTTCTGCGGTTCAGTACGTTTTGCGGTGGTCTTCTTATTCGCGGGTTTTCCTTTTCTTCGAGGTATAGGCGGTTTCTTCAGTGAGGTTGGTGGTAGAATGGAACTGGTCGGTAGACATGAGGCTAACGGTTGTAACTACAACGCAGGACGGCTAAGGTGGATCGTGTGCGGATGCAGGGGTTCACAGAAAAATAAATAATTTGTGACGAGTGAACCAACACCTTCTAACGGAAAAGCTGGTAGAGTAACCAAGATGGATACCGAAGTATGCTGCGGTTGTCTTAAAACCTCATGGAAATATAATATGTAGAGACAACAACATCTGGGTTACCGCAAGGTGATAGTTTTATTGAGTCTACATGTTTCGCCACTTACGGTGGCGTCTTCAGGACAATTTAAACATAGAAAACAAATACTGAAGTACATAAAATGCGGTGCATATGGGGTTACAAAGGTTAACAAGACGTAACGTCACAATAATTGATTTGACAACTTTAAAATGAAAGTGAAAGTAAAAGTTAATAATGCATTGTCAGTGTCTTTTCCAAAATGGACAACACCTCACAGGACATTCCGTACCATTCCAAAAGGCTTCACTCGGAAAGAGGTACTACTTCCAATTGCGTCGGGAATGTTGTAAGATGTATGGTAGTCGCACATGTAGGGCATGGTGGAAGTTGTGGTGAATTGGTTACATTTTGCGGTTGTGGTACACTATCCATGTTGCAAGTTTATTTCAACAATAATCGTGCGGTTCAGTACGTTTTGCGGTGGTCTTCTTATTCGCGGGTTTTCCTTTTCTTCGAGGTATAGGCGGTTTCTTCAGTGAGGTTGGTGGTAGAATGGAACTGGTCGGTAGACATGAGGCTAACGGTTGTAACTACAACGCAGGACGGCTAAGGTGGATCGTGTGCGGATGCAGGGGTTCACAGAAAAATAAATAATTTGTGACGAGTGAACCAACACCTTCTAACGGAAAAGCTGGTAGAGTAACCAAGATGGATACCGAAGTATGCTGCGGTTGTCTTAAAACCTCATGGAAATATAATATGTAGAGACAACAACATCTGGGTTACCGCAAGGTGATAGTTTTATTGAGTCTACATGTTTCGCCACTTACGGTGGCGTCTTCAGGACAATTTAAACATAGAAAACAAATACTGAAGTACATAAAATGCGGTGCATATGGGGTTACAAAGGTTAACAAGACGTAACGTCACAATAATTGATTTGACAACTTTAAAATGAAAGTGAAAGTAAAAGTTAATAATGCATTGTCAGTGTCTTTTCCAAAATGGACAACACCTCACAGGACATTCCGTACCATTCCAAAAGGCTTCACTCGGAAAGAGGTACTACTTCCAA